TCCATACGTGGCTCGCGTGGCAGTGCTGGGTTAGACAGCGCTCGCGTTATCAGTCATCACCATCCTGAGAGAAAACGCTCTCCTTGAACAACCCAGCCACAGCCTGTCGTGCCCCAGCTCCAAGCCTGCAGCTGCAGAGACCCTCCCTGAGCCGCCACCTTACACTCTAAGGGCACACGTCCTGCTCTACAAACCCCACCTCCAGCTGAACGGCAGCTTCGAGGGCTGGAAGGTGTGACCGCTTCATTCCCGGCATCCCTGACCCAGGACGTCCTTGCTCGGGGGAAATGTCAATGCAGACCCTGACCAAATGTACTAGAGGACACACTGTTAGGACGGGGGAAGCTGCGGCTCAGGCCTGATCGGTCATCAGCTTCTGGCTGGCACTCACAACCTAAAGGCAGTTCCTTGAAGTGCAGGCCCTGGGGCAGGGTGGAGGGCCCCCGATGGCTCAGTAACAAGTGGGAGAACCCCCAAATTGGGACTCTTCCTTTCCACTCTCTCCAGCGGCTGGAGGGGTCCTGTGAAAGCCTGAGTCAAATCCTGTCCCCTCCCTGCTCCAAATCCCTCTGTGGTGCCCATCTAGCTCAGAGTGAAAGTAAAGTCCTCCCTGAGGCCCTCCAGGCCCTGCCCAATCCACTAGTCCCTCTCTGACTGCAACTCCTCCTGCTCATGTTTCTCCTACATGGCAAGCACAGTCCTGCCTCAGGGCCTTTGCACAAGCTGTTCCCTCTGCCAAGGATGTCCTCCTCCACATTTGTGCAGGTTCACCCACTAAATTTGACTCTTTGCCCCAATGTCACCTTTTCAGCGAGAGACTCTCTGACCAGCCTATGTAGAAGCAGCATCCCTGACCTTGCCCCACATTCCTGCCCCCTCCCAACAGCCACACCACCTACCTGAACATCTGAATACTGTACATTCACTTGTATGTTGGTACACCTCTCTTTGGAACAGGGAGGGGACCTCCGTTCACTGTTTAGTCCCTTGAACACCCTGAACAGTGTCTGGCACTTTATCGGTGCTCAGTAAAGATTGGTTTGTGTGTTCATTCATTTATTCATTCAATCAGCAAACATCTGAGGACTCCCATGGGCCAGGCCCTGCAGGGGGCAGAACTGGGGACCCAGGGACAGACCAGAGCAGGGCCTGTGCTCCAGGGCTGGGGAAAATGTCACCAATGTAATGGGTCACAACCTGGAGTGGGATGTGCCCTAATGGAGGAGCTCAGGGCACCGTGGTAGCACAGCAGCCCCCTGCCCATTGGCCCACCTGCAAACTCTTCTCAGGGCAAAGCTGGGCGCTGGGGGGAGGTAGCCCCAGGAAGAGCCCAGTCAGTTAAGTGACTTGGAGGTTGATTCCCACTCTAGACAGGGCAGGACCACACCCTCAGGCTGGGCCCAGCCCGAACCTCTCCCTTTCTTATCTGTAGAATTTGCCTGTCCTTGTCCTTCCCCAAGCCTGTCTTTCACCTCCGGCTAGATCTTTCCCCTTGATCCTCCAGCAGAAGGCTCCACACTCCTCCCCTTCCTTGATGGCTCATCTCTGAGCTCGGCCTCCTCCATATCCCTCATCCCTTCTTTTCCCTCATCCCTGCTTGAAAACCTCCAGTGCCCTTGGGGTGAACACCAACCTGGCTCCTGTCTACCTCTCCAGGGTCAGATTCCACCCTTCTCTGTACCAGCTACACAGGCCTGAGCTCAGAATCTCAGCTGGGCCTCAGGACCTTTGCACTTGCCACCCCTCTGCCCTCATAGTTCTTCTCCAACCCCCTTGGCCTGGTTAACTGCTCCATGTTGTCTGAACATCGCAACCAGACAGAGCCCCCACTCTCTCAACATTGGGGCTCTCTCCCTCACTGAACTTGGGACAACTACAGTTTTTTCCACTTAAAAAAATAATCGAAATACAAATCACATACTATAATGTCCACCATGTAAAGTGTCCAATTCAGTGTCTTTACTATATCCACAAATTGTACAGCCTTCACTACTACTAATTCCAGAACACTGTCATCATTCCAGAAGGAAACCCTGTGCTTATCAGCAGTCACTACATTCCACACCTCTTAGTCCTAGGCAACCACTAATCTTTTCCATCACTATGGATTTGCCCTTCTAGACATTTCATATACATGGACTCCTACACTGTATGGCCTTTTATATCTGGCTTCTTTCACTTAGCATGATGTTTTCAAGGTCCATCCATGTTGTAGCACAGATCAGGGCTCCAATATTTTTATGGCTGGATAATATTCCGCTGTGCGGGTATATCACATTTTATTCATCCATTCTTCCATTGATGGGCACGTGGGTTGTTAGTTTCTACTTCTGGGGGCTGTCAAGAATAACTCTGCTATGATCATCTGTATACAAGGGTTTGTGAGGACAGATGCTAGTTTTATGTACCTGCTCGCTCACAGGGCTGGGAGCTTCGTGGAGGCACAGATGAGTCTGTCCTATTCATCACTGTGTCCCCAGCACCCACGATAAGGCTTGAAACATACCAGCCATGCCACATGCATATATGAGAAAAGACAGGACAAGAGGGATGCCTGGTCCTCAGGCCCCTGTGCATGTGGCTAAACCACCTTCCCTGACCCCAAGTCAGAGTCTCCCGTGTGGTCCTGCAGTGACACCGATCTGCTTGTCTTTCCTTCCCCACCCCCACTAGCCCATCCCTTTGTAAATCCTCCAAATCAACCACTTCTCTCCATTCCCTTCTCACCCCAGGCAAGCCAACACCATCCGCAGCAGCCCCTTACTGTTTCTCTGCTTCCCATCCTGCCTCTTGAGTCTGTTCTCTACACAGCCGCCAGAGGAATTATTTTAAAACTTCAATCAGCTCCTGGCACTCTAGCACTCAAAACCTCCCCGTGGCTCTCCCTGCACTCAGAGAAAGGCCGGGGTGCCCACAAAGCCCTACCCAATCCCCACCCACCCGCCCACCCTCTGCGGGCCCCTGGCTCTTATCTAAGCACACGTGCTGCACCCTCCGCAGCGCCCTGCCCTGCCTGGACCCCTTTCCCCCAGAGGCTGCAGGGCTCACTCCCTCACTTTGCTCAGAATCTACTCAAGTCTCACCGTGGTGCAGCCTTCACTGAGCGGCCTCTCAGTCTGGGTCCCTCTCCCTGCCTTTCCTTCCTAGGGTGCCTTCCCGGCGCCAGCCATCACCAGTCATGGGTTGACACCAGGTCCTTACCGAGGTTCTCTGTGCTTACTTTCTAGCTCCCTTGTGGCATGGCTGCTCCCAAAGGCAGGAATGCTTGCTCACTGTTTTAGTCCCACTCCCTGGAACGGTGTGTTGCACACCACAACAGGAATCAAAAACTATTTGTCAAATGAATGAACTGAACCTTCAGAGGCAAGATGCTGTTTTATCAGTGGGGTTTGCAGACTAGAAAACCGAGCCTCCGAGAGGTTATGGGACTTGCTGAGGGTCATGCTGCTGGGAAGTCTCAGCAGCAATGCACCTGAACTCCTAAGGGCTGGTCCCCACAGCTGCACCTCTTTTCATAACAACCATTACCTCTCTGCTCCATCACATACCCAGCAGTTCCCACTCCTCCTGTTCACTGAGCACCTACTATGTGCTAGATCCTTCCATAACTACGGAAATCTAAAATAACCATTGGGCACCTAACAGACGCTGCTTCTCAGATCCAGCCGAATAACAAGGACAATAGCCGAGAACCATCTAGCATCTGGAATGTGTGAAAGGCTTCACTCACATACAATATCACAACAACCTCATCAGGAAGGTGTGATCAGCAGTCCCTCCTGACAGATGAGGAAATTGAGAGGTAAAGTCCCTTATCTAAGGTCACAGAGCAAGGGAGTGGCGGCGTTCAAACTCAAACCCAGGTCTCGCTGACCCCAAAGCCTATGCGGATACAGCTAAAGCTCTTGGCAGCTCCAGACACAACACCCACTCCCAGGAGTTGGGAGCTGACTTGGCACCAGGCCACCCATCGTCGTGACAGTCCTTCCTGCTTGTGATCACTGCCCCTATACTAATGTGGTCAGATGACAGAGGGCTCCAAATTCAGGAGTCCTGCTCCCTGACCTCTGACCTCTCTCTGGAACCAGGCTTTCCCCACCCTCTGAACTTTCCAGATCTCTTCCCCACAAATTTCTAAGGCCCCCTGGCCCCTTCTTTGAGCTCTAGGTTCTCCGCTTTCTGGCACAGCCCCCAAACCCCCCTTTATAATGTCAACTCCATTCCAGGCCACCAGCTCCCTGTGTCAGATTCTCCTAAGATCCTCCAACTGCAGTGCATCCACTCTTTGCTCTTTGAGTCCCTCATTTCCCTTCAGTAAACCCTCCAGGTCCTTCTCCACTGCCCTCCATGTCTTCTAAACCATCCTCCATACTGGAGACCCTCTACTCTTCACCAGGATTGGGCTATAGTCACCCATCATCTTCCCATCTCTCCTCTCCAAACCCCTGGGACTTTCTACCACTCCCAGGCCCTCTCTGTGCACTAGCCAGGCGCCTCAATGACCTATCTAGCCCCTTCCCCTCTATGACACCCCCTCACCCAGGCCCTTAAACCCGGCCCCATTACGCTTCCTCTGTTCGCGTCCTCCCGGTCCCCTCTGGCCTCCTCCCACTCTACTGCTCCATAGGGTACCCGCACCCATGTATCTCCTTCCCTTTCTCTCTACATTAGGGATTCCTCTAACCCCATCGCTGATACGATCCCCCCAGGCTTTCTACCATTTCCAAGGGGCACTTCTGTGCCCCGTCCCCGGGACCTCACTAGCCTCCTCTCCTTTAAGACCCTCCCGGACGCCTCTAGCCCCTCCGTGTCGTCACCTCAAGAGGCACTCTATTACACCCTAAGACCCTCCATTCCCCCACCCCAAAGTTACCCTCGGGGCCTCTCTATCCTCTCCCTCTATGACCGCAGTGGCTTTCAATCCCCCGGGGCCTTCCGTAATCCCCGAGCCCCTCAATTCCACACTCCCACACTCCCGGAGCCCCCAACAGCGCTCTCACAGTTCCGGATGTCGGAGATGAACACCGCGAGCCCCCGCATCCCATCGCCCTTGGACACGGCCGGCATGATGGCGGTGGTGTCGGTTCCAGGCCTGGCCGGGCAGGGCAGGGCACAGCGCAGCGGGGGCTGGCAGGCGCGGACCGGGAGAAAAGGACCCCAAGCAGGGCCGAGGAGCCGAGCCGGCCGGGGTAGGGCGGGCTGCGGGCGGGCTGGCTGGCAGGCCGCGGCTCCACCCCCGGACCCTCCCTCCCCTCCGCTGTCCTGCGCTCTCAGCCGCCCATTGGCTCGGACTACTGCTGCTCAGACTCGGGAACACCCGCCCTCCCCTCTGTCATTGGTCAATGGCCAAAGGCGTGCCGCTACGATTGGTCTAGCGCCCCGCTATTTCCGTTCATGAAAAGGAGAGAGGGGGCGTTGCCCGACAGATGGGCGGAGTTCAGCTGCGTACAGTGGGACCGCCCGCTCCGCGCGGTCGAGTCCAATACTGATTGGATTCAGGGCAGGGGAGGGATTGACATGAAGGAAGGCGGGGGAGCGGGCTTGAGGAGACGGGACTTGGGTTGACTGAGGCCAATCGAAGAGTAGATCGCCCCCGCAGGCCTCGCCGATCCCGCCTCCGATTGGGTGTTTGTGGGGGCGGGAGGAGGGCGATGTCACAGCGAAGTAAGGAGAAGGGGGGGTGGGTGTCACTCAGCCCGGCTGGGATAGGTGGAGCGACGCCTGCAATTCCCTGCTGCAGAGAAGGGGTTGGGAGGGGCAGGAGAGCGTGAGATGTTTACTGCGCAAGCGTTTCTCTGTTCCCCTTTCTCCCTCCACCTTCGGCTCCCTGAGTCTTCTTCCAGGAACACTTCCTTTCCCCCTACCCATCCCTTGTTTAGCGGCCAAGTTGTCGAAATCTAACTTGTCAGGTAACCAAGAATCCCAAAACGGAGGAAACAGTAATTCAAGTCTAATCCCATTAAGCAGATGTTAAAACTGAGGTCTAGGGAGACTGAATGACTTGCTCAAGCTCAACACAACTCGGAAGTGGCAGAGCCGGAATTTAAACTCTATTTTGGCTTTTAGCCACTTTTCAATATTTGATGCCTTTTTTTTTTTGTCCAACCATAATACCATTATGCAGATATCGGATCAAAATTTGGTCTCTCCTCTGCCATACTTGGAGCTCCTCCCGAGCAAAAATGGGAACTGGTATTGCAGTCGATTGGTTAAAAGGAAATAATGGGTGAATCTGCTTTGTTTGCCCCAACCACCGCCCCCCTAGAGACCCGGAGATCCTCTTTGCTTTGCTGGCTTTGGGGAAGGCAAAGCCTCCGGAACTCCCAACTCTCGGGCTATTGAGAAATTTGGGGCAAAGGGAACTGGAAGAGTCCATTTCCGTCACTTTGAGGAACTAAACCCCACCCCACCACCCTTTTCAAATCTCAGATGTCTAGTATTCTTGGAATGAGCCTTGGGGGAGTGTCCTGGGTCCTGGGACGTTCCACTCTGAATCTTTGGGGAGGTGGGGACGGGGGCAAAAGAGCCCAGCTAATAGGTTCACTATGTCCCTCCTTTTGGATTCCAGAAATGGGGCTTGGGAAAGTCATTCTGGATTCCAGTACAGACATTGCTCAGCTGTTTTAGTGACCAGAAGAATCCATTCCTAGTATGGCTGGGGGTGCTATCTGCCCCTAAAGAACATAGAGTGGCCCCATTAAAAACAACAATTAATAGAACCCAGAGTTTTAAAAAGTCCTTTTTTATGGGAAGATACATTAGGCATTCCAAGGACTGGAGGAGTCCATTCGGACACAGAAAGGGAAACACTTTCTCCATAAAACTGTTAGGTTTTCAGACCAGGGTGTGAGTAAGTCCACATTAGGAGGTCTAGATAAGGTTTGGGCAAATCCTTTTCGGTATTAAGACAGAGCATTAATAGGGCACCCCAGGCCCCTTGAGTTGCTCATGGGCTGAACCACTAATAGCAGATTCACCCAGGTCCTCCCCTCTCTGTCCCCCACCCAAACCAAGGCCAGGATACGTCTGAAGTCAGCCACCTCCCTCTGATCACTGCCTCACCCTGTGCAGGCCACCGTCTCTTGCCTAGAACCTTGTAGTGACCTCCTTGCTACCCTCCCTGCCTGCATTTTAGCCACCCACAGTTCATTCTCCATATGCACCCGGGGTGCTGTTTACAACATCAACCAGCTGTGTCCTTCCCCAGCTTAAACGCTCCAGCCACACTGGCCTCCGCTTAGCCATTGAGACCTTCCAGCGCATTCTTACACCCACCCCAACCCTGCGTTTCCCCACGGCTCATCCTTCTGGTCTCAGTTCAGTGGCCCCACTTTGGAAAGGACTTCTGGATTTAGGGATTTAAAGCAATCCCTCCTTGTCATACTTAACACATGACCTACTATTTAAAAAATGTTACAGATATTTTCAAATATATCCCAAAGTGGAAGGGAGGGTATAAGTCACCCCCATATACCAGCCCCAACAATTACCAACATAAAACTTCTACTGTTGCATCCATACCTCCCTCCATTTCATTTACCCACTGCCACTGGATTCGTTCAAAGCCAGCCGCCCTCATCAGAGCATTTCATCCCTATCACCCATATTCTTCCTCAACATTTTGTTATGAAAATTTCTAAATAGAAAGTCGAAGCAACTGTCCAGTGAACACCTGTGTATGGCCTCGCCTTGATTCTGCCATTAACATTTTATTCCACTTGCTTTATGGCGTTTTGATCCATCTGGCCTTCCCTCCCTCCACCCATCTGGCCTTCCCACCCCTCCATCCCTTGTGTGTTTTTGATACATTCAAAGTAAGTTGCAGACATCACTACACTTCCCCCTTGTTGTGGGTTCAATTATGTCCCCCAAAAGACACTGAAGTCCCAACCCCCAGGACCGTCAATTTGACCTTATTTGGAAAGACAGTCTTTGCCTAGATGAGGTCTTTGGATGGATGGACCTAGAGGGTATTATGCTGAGTGAAATAAGCCAGGCAGAGAAAGGCAAATACCATATGATTTCACTTATTCGTGGAATATAAAAACAAAGCAAAACAAAACAGCAGTAGACTCATAGACAGAAGTGACTAGTGGTTACCAAGGGGGAGGGGCAGGGAGGGATCCAGGGAGGGGAGGAGGGTAAAGGGGTACAATAATTCACATCACAATCTAAGTTGATCATGGGAACTGTTGAACCTCTGTGATGTTCATCTGAAACCAACATAAGATTGTCTATTAATGACACTTTAATAAAAAACCATAAAAATAAAAAAAGATGAGGTCTTTTGAGTAGGCCCTGATCCAGTATGACTATGTCCTTAAAAAGGAGGAAATCTGAACACAGAGACAGATGTGCACAGAGAGGCAGTGTGAAGACCCAGGGAGAAGATGCCATCTACAAGCCGAGTAACTCCTGAGATCACCAGAAGCAAGGAGAGGCCCGGACCGATCTCCCTCACAGGAACCAACCGCTGACACCTGGCCTCGGACCTCTGGCCTCCAGAACTGTAAGACTCAGGAAGCCATATAATCCCTAATCCTTCAAAGTACCTCTCATTAACTATAGTTCAATGTTCGTTTAGATTCTTTCTTAATAGGCAAAATTTACACACAATAAAAGGCTCAAATCCCAAGTGCACAAATCAATGAGCTTTGACAAAGCCCCAGACCACCGTCACCCCGCTTTGATTCCTTTTACGTCACTTGCTGACATCTGAGATCTTGGCTGGCTTCTATCTACTGCCTGCCTGCCTCCTCCCCACCCTAGTGTTAGATCCTCTGGAGTGGGACTCAGTCCACACTTACATCTTCCAGGACCCAGGAAAGTGCCAAGTCCAGGGTATTGCATGGAAATTCAAGTAGGAATGTCAAGGGCTGGGTAACCCCAAAGTCTCAAAGAGAGGGAGATTGGACCCCACCTCCCCAAGAACCACTGCCCATTCATTCCGCTTCCCAAAGAACCACTCATTCATTGTAAACTCTAGACAAGAATAAATAAATCCAGCGCTTCTGAAGGGGAGGAAGAAATCAGGGGAGAGCTAGAATCCTGCCCAAGAAGAGTCCCTGAGAGCCCAGGGGGAATAGCTGAGCCAGCCCCTTTCCCTACCCCGGTGCCCCCCCCACTTCCTGGAGCCCAGTGGTTGGGTCCTTTATGAGGCAGGCTTGTGGCACCAGAGACTTGGAGGGTCAGTGGTGAGAGGAGGTGGAGAGTCTCAGGGGAAGGAGCCCCTGGGAGCAGGACCCCCTCCCACGCCATGGCAAGCGTGGTGGTGAAGACCATCTGGCAGTCCAAAGAGATCCACGAGGCTGGGGACCCCCCTGCGGGGGTCGAGAGCCACTCCCAGCTGGTTCCTGAGGCTTCTGGGGGGGTGACCAGCCCGGCCAAGGGGACTGTGAAGAAAAAGAAGGCCGTGTCATTCCATGGGTGGGTTTACTGCACCCCGGCAGGGGCGGGCCTAGCACCCAGCGCTGCCTCCAACAGAGCACAAGTCCCACCGTGGGCACTGCAGGAAGTGTGGGGAGCAGAGAGGGCAAGCAAGGGGGATGGCAAAGGCAAAACAGAGCTCAGGAGGGAGAGAGGGAGAAGGTAGCAGGGGATGGTGGGACAGAGGATCAAGTCAGGAGGAGGGGGCTGGAGGAGAAAGAAGAAACAGACATCGGGGATGGAGGAGGAAGTGGCCAGTAAGGCTGGAGTCCAAGAGAATAGCAGGTATGGAGACCAGGAAGGAAGGGCCCTGACACTCTGGGGCTGATCTGGACCTTCCTGCCCGTTCCTCCTCCCCAGGGTGGAGCCCCAGATGTCCCAAGAGCCAATGCACTGGTGCCTGCACCTCAGACGGTCATCGGCCTGCACCAACGTGTCACTGCTCAACCTGGCGGCCATAGAGCCCACTGACTCCTCGGGGACAGACTCAACCGCGGAAGACAGTGGCTCGTACACACAGCCCGTGCCCCCGCCCTCTCCCACCCCACCCTGGGCTCCAGATGACCCAGACATCATAGAAATACTGGTGAGGGGGCCCCCTGGCTGGGGAAGATGAGGGTCCTCACCCTGGTGGCAGGTGAATACTGAAGATGGGGAGCAAGGATCTTGATTGGGAATGAGAAGGTGCTGGTCACCCTTTGAGACCTGGAGGAACTGCCCCCTTCTTCCTGAACAGCCAGCCGTGAACAGGGTCCCTCCTGGGTGAATGATGCCTGTTGCCTGGGAGTTGGTCTTTACTTCTTTCAGTTACTTCCAAATGTCCTGGGTAAGGCTGGGGTCACAGGTAGGAGTCAGGCCAAGTCCCCACCACTGAGGATCAGTGTAGTGGGGGTGACAGAGACACACCGGGGTGATAAATTCCATAATGAAGGTGACACTGGGGATCCCAAAGAAGGGCCCTCCAACTAGGCTGTAAGTATCAGGGAAAGTTTCCTGGAGGAGGCAATGTTGGAACTGGGCTTTGACGGATAAGCAGGAGTTCTCTTGAGGAGAATCACCTATCAATCTGAGCAAAACTGGAGGTGAGCAAGATCTAGAGGAATTTAGAGAATTTCTGACTGGAGTACAGAGTGCCACAGCTTGGTCCTTTAACTCCCCTACCAACCTCCACCCTCTGCCCAGCTTCCCCTGGGCCAGGCCCTGAATTGGGCCTGATGTGGACACTGAGAATTACTCTACTAATAGCCATAATCGTAATGATGCTAATAAGATTCACTAGCACTTGCTGAGCACTTTCTATGTTCCGGGAGCCTCAGTTTTCTCACCTGTAAAGTGGAGAGGCATGTGTTCATTTTTTCAACAAAATTTTCTTGAATGCCTGCAATGTGCCAGGCACTGGTCTAGGAGCAGGAAATATTGCCGTATCTAAGACAGAGTTCTGGATATAACTTGCCTGTTTCATGAGGTCATCAGGACAATGAAATGCAATTCATTCAGGTAAAATGTTTAGCACAGTAGCCAGCTCTAAACAAAGAATACATGTTGGTTATTATTGTTATTATTATTTATTCCCACTTCACAGATGAAGATATTGAGGCCTGAAAGGTTAAGTAGCATACCCAAGGTCACACAGCTTGTAAACAGTGAGCTAGGTTTAGGAGTCAGGGGTGGGGGACACCCTGCACCGAGGGGAGCAGTACAGTCACTGTGGGAGCCCTGAAAAGGGAGGCCTTGGCCCAGTCAGAACATACAAGTCAGCTCTTGAAGATAAGGAAGGTATTCACCAGGCAGAAGTCAGGGAAGGGTGCTCCTGCTAGCTGGAACAGCATGTGCAAAAGGACAGGGGTTGAAGAGTCCAGGAAAGGGGTGTAACTACAAGTTGGTCATTGTGGCTGGAGTTTGAAGTGTGAGATGAGTCTGGATTGGGGAGAGCATAGGCCACACAGGCTGAGAAATGTGCTTGTTATCTTGAGAATGGGGAGACACTGAGGGTTTAGGGGCAGAGTAGAGGAGCAACTCAGGTGTTTTGACTCCATTCCTTCTCATTTACTGAGCACCTACCGTGTGCTAGGCATGGCACCACGTCCCTATGGTGGGGATCTCATTTTCCTTTCTTAGAAGTTTTGTAAGGGAACCAGTATAATCACCCGTGCAAAGGTGAAAACAAAAATAACTGAAGGGTAGTGAGGGGTTGGGGGTTATCTCTGCAAGGCAGAGAGCTTGTGTGAAGCTTGGCCAAGACTAGCAGCCCGGAGGGTGTGATGCTAAAGCGAAGTCCTTTCTCTCCCTAGAATAGACTCCTCTGGGACCAGATGGGAGACTTTGGGAGGGCAGAGCCTGGAGGCAGGGAGACTGGGGAGGAGGCTGGGTAAGGGTCCGGGGTAGGAGGACCAGATGGAGAGAAGGGAACAAAGGCAGGGAATCTTGGGGGGATGGAAGGCTCCGGAGAGATCTCCCCCACCCCCGCAGGATAGGTCCCTCTCTCTTTGAGCATTACTCAGGCAGCACCTGCAGAGGGCTGCCTCCTACCAGAGCTATTTCTAAGTCACGTCTCTCAGCGGATGGTGACGCTTGGGAAAGAGCTCTGGGCAGCTGCGATCAAAGCCAGAGGCAGCCATGAGCTTGGTGTGGGGCTGCAGGGGAGCATCTGCCTCCGCGGGGCTTCAGGTTCCTTCTCTGTGAAACGGAAAAAGTGATGACAGCCCACACCTCGGGGTACGTGCAGGAGCAGTGAGAAGGTGGACAGCAAGAGCGAGTCCCGGCCCTCGGCGCCTGGGCTGCATCGGGAAAGAGAGTGGGAGACAGGCAGAGAGGAGGGGCTGGAAGCCTGGTGGGGGTGGGACAGGGGCCCAGAGAGAGGGGGACGGGCCCAGTGTCGGGGTGATGCTCAGAGACAGAAGAGGAAAATGATCCAAAGGGGAGGCAGAGTTCAGAGAGAAAGACGGAGAGGAAGAAACGGGGAGGCTCAGACAAGGGAGAGTTAAAACACAGAGGAAGACAGAGAAACAACAGCCGATCAGAGACCCGGATATTGTGGAGGAAAGTGACCCAGAGAAGAGGGGACAGAGACCTAGATAGGGGGGGCACAGAGACCTGGGGAAGAGGACAGAGACCTAGAGAGTAGAAGGGCAGAGACTCTGAGATCTGGGGCACAGAGACAGACACTAGGGATACAGGAGGGGACAGGGACCCAGAAAGGGAAGGGGCAGATACCGGAGAGAGAGGCGGGACAGGGAACTAGAGGGAGAGGGCCCAGCAGTAGGGGACATGGGGACCTGCCTGAGAGAGCGACCAGTCCCAGACTGGATGGAGAGAGAGCAGGAGAGGGAGCAGCCGGCAGCTCTGGCTCCTGTCTGAAGCTCTGACATCTTCATGAGTCTAAGGATGCAGCTGAGAAGATGGTACTGCTTTTTGGGAAGGTCAGTTGACTCACTGAAGATGGGCAGGGCAGGTCTTCTCATCCCTGCCTGGGACTTGTCCTGCTGTCTGCAGAGCTCCCTGAGGCTGCTGTGAGGTCTTGGTAATAAGCCCCTTCCTAGCAGGTCCTGTCCTGCTGCCATTACTTTTAGCCATGCTGATGCTAATTACTATGCTTGCCCTACTGATGGTATCACCTCGTTGACCCTTCCTCACTGCCATCTGAGCCGGTGTGATCATTAACATTTCATGAGAAGGGAAACTGCAGCAGGCTTGGAGTGGGGATTTGCATGGCGAGTCGCACAGAGTGCGGTGGCCCAGGAGGGATTAGCCCTCAGGTCTCCCACCTCACCATCACGTCATTCACTTCTCAGCCAAGCCAGGGTCTGCCTTCACCACCTCCTTTATCTGCTCTCAGTG